TATAGAGTGTGGATATCCACATTCATTGGGTTACATAACACAAATGTCCATATGAACGAGTGAGTCTGGGTTAGTTCTAGAGGCTGGTGTCAGCAGTTGATATTCTCTTTGCACCTGCCCATTGCCTCCTGGGAGGTGTCTCTGGGGGGCTTTGGGAGGAAGGCTCGTAGTCTTTCTCATGTTGTTTTTTCCCTGGAGCATGCACAGATTCTCTTGGCCAACTTCTTGAATACCAAGAGGGGTTTTTCAGGAAGTTTACTCATTCTATATTATCTAAGAGAACCAATAGAACTTCTACCCTCTGTACATGGCTATCTATACTCATTACCAAGACTCCAACTAGTTAGAGCACACCTGTTCCCCAAGGACAAAAACATAATATTTTGCTGAACATTATATTTCTTGGTAGATTTTCACAGTGAACTGCTTTGTTTTATGAACACAGTAGTCCTTGGTAAAATTCCACAGAACAGTCTGGGCAAGCAGGACTCTTAGCAATAATAAAAAAATACTGTAAGTAATATGATAACTTGCTATAAGTAAGGAAATAAGTCTCAAAACAAGTAACAATTTATCTGTATCAGTACTCCCTTGTCCTGTTTCTTGACCCTGATTTTAGCAGTCCTTGTACATCCTTTGTCTGTCCCAGTCTCCTCACAAAGGAACAACTGGCTTCTCTAACTATTTTTTCCTCATTGGTTTCATGGGGCCTTTCTAACTTCTGTGTCCAGCTTGGTAATTCTGACACTGTTACTTAGGTAATCTTGGCATTATGTGCCATTACTGACGCAGCTACTGAGGAACTGCTGGCCTTGCCCCAGAAGGACCCCAGTGCTTTTTTCCAGTTATCTGTGAAGTTTGACCCTTCCTCACATCGCTGCTTCGTAACCACTTGGAGATCTAGCTACCCTTGTGTCATTATCTTCACCTTTTGTCAGTTTTTCACTACCTGCCATCTGCAGCCACTTCGCATACCATGTTCTGTTCAGAGACCTTAACCTCAAGCCACTGCCAAGTCAGCAGCTAGTAATCTGCCTGTAGCCCCAGGAAATGAGAGGTAAAATTCTCATGCAATTACTGAGTAAATGTAAGGACATGGTATGACCTGTCAAAACTGCACAGTTTGGAGGTTTGAGAGAATTCTGGAAAATTGCCACAAACATTTAAAGGACAGCTCAGGAAGTTGTTCATGCTGCTGCCAAAACCCAATGCCAATGCTTTCTGTCCCTTGTCAGTCACTCTACATTTGAAGTCTCCTGCATATCCTATGTGGATGTCTCCCAAAGGAAATGTTTCTCACACCCCCATATCACAAAAGGACAAGGAGAATGGGATGGCTTCAGTGAAATAACTTGTGGCAATAATTTTCCAGCCAATGTCCTGGCAGACTCCTCGCTGACATTGCTCCTTAATGCCATTTTTTTTGTCTTCTTGCTCCAGTCTCATTTCAATACTGTTTCATGTTTGATTCTGCTTTGGACAGATTTGCTCAAGTTCCTTTATGCTCTCCAGAGCAATGCTTGGGAAAACAGCATCACTCCTGCTTTTCAAATTGTCCTGGTTTCAGCTGGGATAGAGCTAATTTTTTTTCTTTTTAGTAGTTAGAATAGTGCTGTTTTTTGAATTCATTATGGGATATAAGAAGAGTGGGGATAATATACTGATATTTTATGTTGTTACTAAAATATCCAGGACTTTCCAACTCCCCGTGTCCTGCCCATGTGCGGGTGCACACAAAGCTGGGGGGGGCACAGCCAGAGCAGAGGGCCTGGATTGGCTGAGGGAATGTTCCAGATCACACAATGTCACGATCAGTGTGTAGAGGAGGGTGATCTGGGAAGCTCGCTCTTTCCTGGAATTGCAGTTTTGGGATTTTCTTTCCTCTGGTATCACTAACTGGAAGTGGGCTGGGAGTGAGAGGGCAGGTGGTGAGCAACTGCACTGTGCATCACTCATTTTTATATTCTATTATTAATATTATGATAATAACTATTAATATCAATTAAATTGTTTTTATCTCAATCTATGAGTCTCCTTATCTTTACCCCTCCAATTCCTTCCGCCATCCCTCAGGGCAGGGGAGGGTGATGCAGTGGCTGTGTGGTGTTTGTGTGCTGGCCAGGTTTAAACCACAACAGAAACACAAACCAAGACTGGGAGTCTTGAAATGTAGGATGAGAATCCTTGCTTTTCTGCCTGGATGAGCTTGGGATCTGCCAGCCTGTTTCTGCTAGCAAAGAGAGAAACCCACCATTCAGAATAAAACCTGGAGCAAATCAACAAGATTTCATGGAAGCCAGCAGAACAAGGCTAGTTTGTCAGCTCTACTGTGTTCTCCTCCAGCACTTTGCTGTAAGAGGCCAGTCTTATAACTTCTGTGACCAGAACAGGTTGCCTCACTGGTGATTGGGATGGAATGTCCTGCAAATGTGCTGGAAGTAGGGTGGTTTGGGAACACTTCTCCTTAGTCATCCTTTGCAAAGTCAGGGAGGGCCCTTGAGGTAGCACAGAAAGGCTGAAAAGCTCCCCCAGCCAGTGGGAGATGCAATTAGCCCTGTTAATCACTGGCACAATGAAAACAGCTGCTCTGTAATTGGCTTTGCCTTAGGCCACAGGCAGCTTAGCTGAGAGAAATCTGGTTTTCTGAATTATCTATCTGCCTGCTGTGCATTGCCTGGTCCCAAGCAGCACAGGCAGAGTAGGGTGGGCTGCAGAACCCAGACATCTTATGGGGGTGGTGGGGAGAGCCACAGGACAGTGCCTGCTTGCTTGCTTGACCCTCTCCAGGCATTGCTAGGGCCTGTGTCCATCTCTGATGCCATTCCTGGCATCTGAGGAGCACTTTTGAAAGCATTGCCAGATGCCTGCCATGGGCAGGGAATATAGGGCTTGGCTTGCAGAGGCCAGTCTGGTGCAGACAGAGCTCAAGAGTGAGGACTGAGGCCTGCATACACAGTTCTCTGGGTCAGCCTGGTCTCAGGCCTGAACCAGCTTCTGTCCCTAAAAACCGGCACAATTCAAGCCAGCATTCATGGCTGTCCATTATCGTGACTGAAACTCATCCACAGCCCAGCTTCCCGTGAACTCCAGCTTCCAGAGAAGAGTCTCTGTGGTTGGCAAGAGGCCTCTCCAAAGCCAAGATCCCTGGCCCTCTCAGTCTCTTTGTACCAGTTAAATATTGCTGGCCTCCAACACTCTCCCTGGACATGTTAGGGAATGGGAGTTGCCTTTGTTCAAGGCTTTGCACGATGGGGTTCTGTGTTGGGGTGAAGGCTCCTGTGTACTCAGTGAAGCAGCACAGATAAGTCAGTTCCTCGCTGAAGCAGAAACAAACTCTGCAGATCAGCCATGGTACCAAAGACAGTGGTGGATAATTCAGGAAGGCTAGCAGAGCCAGATGCACGTTGACTCACTGTCACACTAATTCTTTACCGGAGTTAGTGAAAACCAGATATCTGATAAATCCCATTGTAAATAGATTACCCAGAATGAAGGCACTTGCAAGAGTTCAGAGGAGCCAGCACAGCAAGCTCTGTTCCTGCCTCGTGTGGCTATAACCCTCCCTTCCCAGTGACCAAGCACACTGAGACTAGTTTGCTTTTCAGGACTGTGTTCTCATGCACACCTCACACAGTAGTACCACACAGACTGGAAAGCCAGTGGATTTTGCAGCAGCAAATGTAATGACTCAGCCAGAGCTGCTGACTTTGAGACTGTTGTGTTGTGACATGAAGTATCATGAGGTCTACTCTGCAAAAGCAGACTCTGCTTCATCTGGGTGCATCTCCCTTAGAGCTGTTCCCCTGCTCAGGACAATCATTAGCCACAGACCTCGTCAGTAACTGACATTCCAGGCACTTGCAACAGAGTTGACAGGCATTGTACAGTTTCTCTGTGCCTTGCTATGTAGGGCTGTTCTATGTCTGCTTCGTACTCTCTGCCTTCTAAGTGGAGGCACTGGACAAAGAAGAGAGGTTCCTGCATGACTCTCCTTCACATCAGCTATGCCTAGCCAGGAGAACTCCTGTTCCATGCACTCATGCCAGTGTGCTGACTGCACTAAAGGTCCCTGAGTTCACACCCACGGGTCAACCAGACCAAGCCACTTCCAGGCTGCTCTGCTGTAGACTTAACCCCAGGGTGGAGAGAGCTGCTCTCCAGCCCTGGAGGAGCAGGCACTCAGGGAGCACAGCTCCCTATCGCAGACCCATCCCTGACCTCTGTGCCATGACAAACACACTACTGCCTGCAACCTGGCAGGGGGAAAAGAGGTGCATGCTGCTGGTGGCAGGGCCAGGGAAACCCTGTCTGCAGGGATCAGGTGCGGACAGCATCCCTTGGAAGGGGCAGGCTGCAAACCCCAGACCCCTGCCACAACTCTGCTGGGCTGCTGGCAGGCCAGCCCAGATGCTGGTGGGTAAGGCCATCATCACAGTCCCTTCAGGCAGCAGGGCAGATGGAGGGGCAGGCACGGGCTGTGTTTCTAGGAGGCTCCTCCACAGCCTGGGAGGGGTGTGTTGTCCCTCAGACAGGGTTTGTTACCCACTGTGCAAAGCCAGCCTCACCCAGAGCCCAGATACCAGTTCTATTTCAGAGCTGCACAAAGAGGGGTGCTAGGGGGTAATTCCACAAAGCTGGGACACTGCACAAAGGAACTGCAGCCTATTTATCCTATTACGTGATTAGTCAAAACCTATCTAAGTTTACACCCCCATCTGCTATTGGCTGGTTATATTTAAATTAGCCTCGCTTGATGTGTTAATTAGCACGTGTGCTCCTTGCAGGTGTAGGGGCAGGTTTTTTTGGTCTTGAGTTAGTTATAATGATCTCCCCCTCCCACCTTTACTTCTCCCCCAGTTTCTGTAGAATTTTGCTGACTGCTTCTTGGGCAATGGTCCATCTCCTGGAGCCTTCTGGGACAGGGTGCCCCCTCTCACCAGTCCTTTATCGCCTCCTCCCCGGTGAAGTTTAGTGAGGCCTGGATCCCATCAGGCTCACGGAAGGAGGCCGCGGTCGTGTCTACCCGCGAGCCGTACCGGCGGTGGCGCGGGGCTGCCGGCATGTTCCGCATCGAGGGGTTGGGGCCCAAGATGGACCCGGAGGAGCTGAAGCGGAAGATGCGCCGCGACGTCCTCGCCTCTGTCCGCAACTTCCTCATCTACGTGGCGCTACTGCGGATCAGTAAGTGCT